AACATTTATCTAACCCAGCAGACTTACCTCACACCCTTAATTTCACATGACAAGTGAGCTGCATGAGACCAGTCTACAGCTCCTGGCTCCTTATTCAGCCATTTTTCAGTTTCCTTGAGTGAACTGTCTGATGAGTCCAATATGAAGATCTCCTTAAAGAAATCAGCTGTGACCAATAAATGACTGAAAGTTGGAGCAATGGTGAGATCTATCAGAGTTTCTCCTTTCACGGTACCTGAAGGAACACAAAATGAAAACGCAACTTCTCACGATACAAATCAGATGTAAATATTTCAATGTTCTCGAAGATCGATAGAGGATCCAGCAGTATCTCCCTTATACCTCCATTTTATGTACACATCCATATGCAAGAGTTAAAAAAAAAAAAAACTAAGAGCTCCTGGTGGAATCATTAATCAGGAACTGATTAACCAGACGCGGTCAGTGCAGGGCGAGAGCTTTAGATATGTATATCTCCCTTCCAACTCTCCTACAGGCATTATTAGGCAAGCTGACATGCCACCATGGGAAGTCTTTAAAGGGACACTATAGTATTGCTAGCACTATAGAACCCTTACACTCTCCCTCCCTCGTCACCCATTGCGGGGCTCATGCACATCCGTGGTGAGTGCATTAGGTCCTCCCCATAGGAAAGCAATGCTTTTCACATTGAAGTTTTACTGATGCTGGTGTCCTCATGAAGAGCGTGGCGAACTCCGGCATCAATTAGCCCAAAGATTGCCTAACAAGCAGGAAATGCCTCTAGTGGCTGATAGACAACAACTAGGGGCAATCATAACCCTGACACGTACTTACTGTAATTTCTCAGGAACTGCATTAACTAACATTGCAGGGTTAAGGAGACAGTGAGATGAAGTGGTCTGGGTGCCTATAGTGTCCCTTTAAGGAAATACAAAGACCTTACAAGTGACAGCGCTTCTTTAATACAGATTGAATGACAAAAAAAAAAAAAAGCAATAAAAAAGGCATTAGACATGAACATACCTGAGGACAATACCTCAAATAATTTTTGCTGTGGCATTTTCATCAGTTCCTCTTTGGAATCCGTTTTATCATGACCAACATACGTTTCTATCAGTAGATGGTGATCAAACTCTTCATCGTGATAATGTTTAAGGTCAATTCCTTCCATCTCGAGTTTTTATTTTCAGGAATCAGTTTACTGGCAAAGAAAGAATATATGGCTATTTATACACAAATATGTAACATACTGATTTTTTCTGCAGTGTGTTTCTGGTTCCAGTGTAGCTCTCCAAGTCTTCATTGGCTATTGTAGCCTTACTTTTGTAATTAGGTTTATTTCATCCCAGTTCAGTGTTTAGGGAATAGAGACCACCAGCTGTAGCACTACCTCTCCCTGACTGTTTGATTATTTATTGTATTACAACGCAAGGACTGTATTACAACTTAATTATTTAAAAAATATATACAAATTGATGGGAGCACTAAAAAGGCAAGCAAAACAGGAAATAAACCACACTTTTAAAACGATAAGAATGTAGCCCCATGTAGCCAAGCGCAGCTAAGCGGAAAAAGGCCTTGACAGGGGTTAGGAGGCGGGCCTAGGAGGAAGTAAGCAAGGGAGTGGAGTTATGGGTAAGTGGGTTTGGTTATTTAAATGGGCAGCCATTTTAGTTAATTCATTTTAACTTCCTACCTGGTTAAGTTTGTGTTCGCTCCTGTGGGCACAGATTTGGCTTGGTAGGGTTTTTTCCTTTTGTCTCCCTGCAGGGCCGATGGAGGAAGTGGAGCGACTGCTGGAGCGGATCCGGTCGGCGGCGAGGCACCAGGGGGCTGACTGGCTGAAGGCCCAGTTAGGCCCGGCCCTGGCGGCGGCGGAGGGCCAGGACGGCGGCGGACGACGGCCTGTTCGGGCCAGGGGGCCTCCGGAGCGGCTAAGCCCGGGTGTGGGACCCGGTGAAGACATCCCTGGTGGTCCGGGAGGCTCTGGTGCGGGCGGCAGCAGGCCCGGCAGCCGCGTGGTAGAGGCCCCGCCTCCCCGCGAGCGGCCGGAGCCTAGGACCAGTGCCCGGCGCCGGGGGGACGGTCGGGACGGGGCCGTCGCGGCTGCCGGGTCGGACGTGGCCGGGCGGTCCCCTGGAGGAGCGGGCAGCATGGAGCTGCGGCCCGGGAAGGCGCGCGCCCCGTCGGAGGCGGAGATCGGCGGGGCCGGGACCGGGAGGACACGTGGCCGGTTCCCGGCCCCAAAGGCAAGTGCAGGGGGCTCCGGCCGGGGCCCTCTTGGAGGAAAAAGTGCTGGGGGGGTCCTGTCAGGGGGCGGAGGGCGGAGGGCCCAAGTGGGGGTTGGGAAGGCCTCCCAGGGACCGCGGGTGGTGGATGGGGAGGGCATAGGGGTCATAGGTGGGGGGAGTAGTGGTAGGGGTGGGGGGGCTGTGGGTGAGGAGGGACTGCTGGGCTCCCCTGGTAGGGGAAAGGGGGCCTCCTTGGGCTCTGGGGCTAGGCCGGTGCGGGTAGGGTCGGGTAGGCCTGGTTTAGGGGTTGGGGGGGCCAGTCTGGTTGAGGGGGGGTCTAGGTCCCCTTAGTCTGGGAGCCAGTTCAGGTGGGGGGTCGGGCTCTAGCCGGAGGGGTGAGCGTTTGGGGGTGCAGGGTAGTAGGGGGGGGGGTCCGGTTCAGGGTCCTGTAGTGGTAGTCCCTCTCCGGTTCGGGAAGTAGAGCCACGGGGGAGGGGGGGGAGGAGGGGGAGGTCCCGGCAGCGCCGCTCCAGGTCAGGGAGCTCGGGAGAGAGCGGGTCTAGCGTCCCCAGGGGTGGTCGGCGGGGACGTATGCCCGGGGAAGACAGGAGGAGCCGTAGCCCTAGGCTTTGGCAATGGGCAGGCGCTCCCAGGGTCGAGACGGGGGGGATGCGAATACTCAGTGCACCCTACCCAGGACTTCTTCTCCTCTTTCCAGGTCACGGAGCTGTTCCATATCGACACGGGCAAGGCACCGGTTTGGCTCCCCGGTTGGCGAGGTATCGGCGGGAGTCGCTCTCCCTGGACATCCGGCAGTCGACGACGCAGCCCCTGCCGCGTCAGTTGCAGGGGGCTTGGCCGGTGAGTCTTGTGGGTCACTACACTCCAGTTCCTTAGTTAGCACACTGCAAGCACTGCTCCACTCGCTGGGGGCGGGGGGTGACACGGGGGGTGGCATTGGTCGGGTTTGGGCCCCGGGGACGGAGGTCCCTGGTCCTAGTGGGGTTTCCGTGGGGCTTAGTTCGGGCGGGCACGTGGGGGTGGCGCCCGAGGCGATGGCGGCCGGGGGTGACAAGGCGGAACTGGCCGGGGGTATTCCGGACGCAGCGAGGCAGCACGCATACGTCTCGTTTGCGGGCCCCCTGGGGGTTCATCTGAAACAGGACGTGAAAGAAAAGCTCTGGAAAGGTGAGTTTTGCGAGATCTTCTCCCTGCTCCCCTTGGAGGACTTTATTGACCTCAAGGAGGAGGATAAAAAGGATGAAAAGAAGGAGGAGGAGGAGGAGAAGAGGAAGCGGTATCGCAAGATTCCGAAATCCTTTGGCAACTGGTTACGGGCGTTTTGCGTGCTAGCTAGCGTGCTGGGGGAAAAATCGCCGGGATTATGCTCGTCCCTGTTCTGCTACCTGGACGGCATTTGGGAAGCATATCGCACCTATGGGGGGCTGGCATGGTGGCGATACGATGAACAGTTTAGGCAGCGACTGGCGGCTAACCCGGGGATGAGGTGGGATCAGATGGATCTGCCCCTCAGGATGAAGCTAATGATGGCCCAGAAGGCGCAGCCCTTTCCAAACTCGGCCGGCGCGAAGGGGCAGTCCGCCTCGTCGGCCGCTTTGCAAAAGGGCTTCTGCTGGCTCTACAATGAGGGCCAGTGCAAATGGGGAAACGCGTGTCGATTTAAGCATGAGTGCTCCGGTTGCGGGGGTGCTCATGGGCTCAATCGCTGTTTCAAAAAAAGGGAAGGCGGGAACAGCCGGAGCGGCTGCCGGGGCCGGAGGGAATGCTTCCCCTGCCCCGGGGCTTCACGCCGGTGAGGCTAGACGCGATGGAGCCGTGGCTAAGCCGCTACGGTAACAGGACTGATGCCTCGGTACTTAGGGAAGGCTTGGGGCGGGGTTTCTTTATTCCCTTCCGGGAGCGGGGGGGTTCGGGGGGGTTGCGCAACCTGAAGTCGGTGGCGGATTTCCCGGGGGTGGTACGGGAGAAACTAGACAAGGAGGTTGCGCTGGGGCGGATGGCGGGCCCGTTTGTGGTGCCCCCATTGGAGGACCTACGGGTTTCCCCTCTTGGGGTGGTGCCAAAGAAGGAGCCGGGGAAATTCCGGCTCATTCACCACCTCTCCTACCCAAAAGGGGAGTCGGTGAATGACGGTATTGATAAGGACCTATGCTAAGTTTGTGTTCGCTCCTGTGGGCACAGATTTGGCTTGGTAGGGCTTTTTCCTTTTTGTCTCCCTGCAGGGCCGATGGATGAAGTGGAGCGACTGCTGGAGCGGATCCGGTCGGCGGCGAGGCACCAGGGGGCTGACTGGCTGAAGGCCCGGCCCTGGCGGCGGCGGCGGACCAGGACGGCGGCGGACGACGGCCTGTTCGGGCCAGGAGGCCTCCGGAGCGGCTAAGCCCGGGTGTGGGACCCGGTGAAGACATCCCTGGTGGTCCGGGAGGCTCCGGTGCGGGCGGCAGCAGGCCCGGCAGCCGTGTGGTAGAGGCCCCGCCTCCCCGCGAGCGGCCGGAGCCTTGGACCAGTGTCCGGCGCCGGGGGGACGGTCGGGACGGGGCCGTCGCGGCTGCCGGGTCGGACGTGGCCAGGCGGTCCCCTGGAGGAGCGGGCAGCATGGAGCTGCGGCCCGGGAGGGCGCACGCCCCGTCGGAGGCGGAGATCGGCGGGGGCGGGGCCGGGACCGGGAGGACACGTGGCTGGTTCCCGGCCCCAAAGGCAAGTGCAGGGGGCTCCGGCCGGGGCCCCCTTGGCGGGAAAAGTGCTGGGGGGGTCCTGTCAGGGGGCGGAGGGCGGAGGGCCCAAGTGGGGGGTGGGAAGGCCTCCCAGGGACCGCGGGTGGTGGATGGGGAGGGCATAGGGGTCATAGGTGGGGGGAGTAGTGGTAGGGGTGGGGGGGCTGTGGGTGAGGAGGGACTGCTGGGCTCCCCTGGTAGGGGAAAGGGGGCCTCCTTGGGCTCTGGGGCTAGGCTGGTGCGGGTAGGGTCGGGTAGGCCTGGTTTAGGGGTTGGGGGGGCCGGTCTAGTTGAGGGGGGTCTAGGTCCCCTTAGTCTGGGAGCCAGTTCAGGTGGGGGGTCGGGCTCTAGCCGGAGGGGTGAGCGTTTGGGGGTGCAGGGTAGTAGGGGGGGGGGTCCGGTTCAGGGTCCTATAGTGGTAGTCCCTCTCCGGTTCGGGAAGTAGAGCCACGGGGAGGAGGGGGAGGAGGGGGAGGTCCCGGCAGCGCCGCTCCAGGTCAGGGAGCTCGGGAGAGAGCGGGTCTAGCGTTCCCAGGGGTGGTCGGCGGGGACGTATGCCCGGGGAAGACAGGAGGAGCCGTAGCCCTAGGGGCTCCCGCGCGCGGCGCGTGCAGGGGGCACAGCGGGAGGCTTTGGCAATGGGCAGGCGCTCCCAGGGTCGGGACGGGGGGGATGCGAATACTCAGTGCACCCTACCCAGGACTTCTTCTCCTCTTTCCAGGTCACGGAGCTGTTCCATATCGGCACGGGCAAGGCACCGGTTTGGCTCCCCGGTTGGCGAGGTATCGGCGGGAGTCGCTCTCCCTGGACATCGGGCAGTCGACGACGCAGCCCCTGCCGCGTCAGTTGCAGGGGGCTTGGCCGGTGAGTCTTGTGGGTCACTACACTCCAGTTCCTTAGTTAGCACACTGCAAGCACTGCTCCACTCGCTGGGGGCGGGGGGTGACACGGGGGGTGGCGCTGGTCGGGTTTGGGCCCCGGGGACGGAGGTCCCTGGTCCTAGTGGGGTTTCCGTGGGGCTTAGTTCGGGCGGGGACGTGGGGGTGGCGCCCGAGGCGATGGTGGCCGGGGGTGACAAGGCGGAACTGGCCGGGGGTATTCCGGATGCAGCCAGGCAGCACGCATACGTCTCGTTTGCGGGCCCCCTGGGGGTTCATCTGAAACAGGACGTGGAAGAGAAGCTCTGGAAAGGTGAGTTCTGCGAGATCTTCTCCCTGCTCCCCTTGGAGGACTTTATT